GAGGCCAGGAAAAAAATAATGAAAAGGGAAAAAAAAGGTTGTTCTTGCTTCATCAGAGGATAGACATCAATAGAGCCACTGAAATGACTGAAATGATGCAGCCTGTGTTTTGTACCATGTCCGACACCTTGGGAATTTCTGGGGAAAACACCTTAGCACAAGTCCTGCAGGAGGTGGAGAGTCCGGGAGGTGCAACTGTTCAGAAATTACCTTCTTTTCATCTTGTAGAGGCACTCTGTGGAATTTGAAATGACTGTAGTCAGTATTCAGTAGGGTTGCCCAGGTATAAATGTAATAAACCAAATGAATCCTCCATCAGTTATTCCTTTTTGAGCTCTCTTCCCAAGATACTGCTCTGTGCACAAGGGGATTTCTGTAATAATTACCCCTGAGTACCCAGCTGAATAAGTGGTAATTACACTGTCTAAACATAGAAATAGATCCTTGTGCCATTGGTTCCACAACTGACAGGAAGCCTTACTCCAAATTTCTAAGGGTTTTTCAGTTTTCATATCCCTCTAGCACTGCAAGATTGAAGATGCACCCAGGGTTGTACACACTTCCTTCCTCTGCAGCTTATGTGAACTACCTGTCTCATAACTTGTATAATAAACAGTTGCTGTACCCGTGGGTTCCTTTCCTCAGCTGCAGAGTAGGGACAGCAGATGTTCTGCAAAATGAAATCCTTCGTGATTATGGGATTGCTCAGAGGGCCATAATACCTACCCACCCCCAAGAGAATGAGTCAGTCAAGCAAAATAGAATACTATTCCTATTTCCTATCAGCACAAATGGAAATCATAACACTGTTAGTAAACCATGCCACCAAACGGAGGCAAAGAACCAGATGCAAAACTGGCAGAAGGACCTTATACCTGTGTTGTGATGGTGTGAGAGATCACATAGAATATCAAGGGAAAATATTATTTCTGTTGGACAAAGGCCCACCTTCACCACGTGGTACTTTTGCCAAGCTAGAGGGTCTCAGAAAGAATGAAAATGTTGAAAAAGCTAAAAGGCAAACTGAGATCTTGGAGACAATATGTGCAATTTGTACCACTACCCAAGAAGGTCTGCTCTATATCAGTTCATAATATTCTACTCCTTCACAGTTATGTACTAACTTTCACACTTAATTACAGAAAAATAATTTATCTCATCAGACTGACTTGCTGAATTAAAGTTTCTAAATTTCTTTTTCATGCCTTGGACCAAGGAACCAAATATAAACCCTCTGTCTACAGTCAGTGTCTAAATATAGCCAAGAATTAAGATATTCCTGCTTCTGCATCCTAAATAATCTAATGGAATCAATTACGGTTTTGCGTAGATGACATCTGGTATTTGCAAATACAACATGAAACATGAAATCCAACCAAAATAAGCATGAACCGAAAGTTTCCACCCATCCCACTTCATCCTCAGTAAACATATTATTGTTTTGCATCACGGGGTGGATTTTTCATATTTCTTACAGACTTCAGCTTAGAAGCTTCCCAAGAGAATGTAACACTTGCAAAAGAAAAGGGCTGATAACTTTGACTTCTACCAGTGGTTAAACCAGATGAGTAAACATCGTTCACGGGTTCACTGAGAGAATGGTCTCATTGCTTGGATTTTCAGCCTTGTGCTTTTTTTGATCAGCGTTCCAGTCACACCAAGCTAAATAACAGTTTACATTGTCAGATACAGCAAGGTTTGGAGTGAACACCAACATCAGCTGTGGAATGGACAGAATCTGAAATGGATTAAATACAGCTCTGTCACACTGTGCCTGTAAGATCTTTGCCCATTATAACTGGAAGCTAAGGATAGTCCCACTGCACTGTATCTATGTTATCAACCCATTTCAAAATATAACCCCTTGCAGCACTCTCCTAGCATCATAATTAATGCTTCAGCCTCAAGTAGCCAAACATACTGTATTAGTACTAGAATGCAAACTATCCCTGGATGTAAGTACACAGGACTTTGGGGGGTTGGGTCTGGGGTTTTTTTGTTTGTTTTTTTCTTCTTTCAAATACAGCCTAAATAGATAAATGTAACTATACCTGCAGTCAAGGACTGCCCTCTTCCTCCTCCAAATAACGCACGGTCAGGAAAGGGATGGGTCATGTCCATTCCCATACTCCCGAGCAGAGTCAGAGCATAGCAGAGCAAGCAGTCCCACTCTGAAGACTGGCTAGCCTGTGGGCTCTGAGCATCCTTGGAGGAAACCATGCCTCCTGAAATGCTCTACAATGAAAACCCATGTTTCCTCACAACTCCTGTTGCTGCCACGTACTGCCCAGACTTGCAAACCTCCGAAACAGTTAGCTGTGGCAGTCCATATGGAAAGGTGAATGCTGGAGAATTTTCACTGGTAGAAGTTGCTGGGCAGGGCTGAGGACGTGGACCATTCCTGTGAAACCACAGTTCTGACTCTGGCCCCCAGGCATGCCACGTGCTGTGCGTTGGGAATTACAGTCGCAGATTTTACCTTTCTGCAGCTGAGTAACTCCCATCGTTTCACCATCGGTTCCTGCCAGCGTGAGCAGGGGCTGAAGGAAGCGCTCCCCACGTTTCCCTCGCCTGCCTGATATTCGTGCAACACTGTTCTGTTTCCTCCCTTGCTCTGGCCCAAGTGCTCACATCTTCCCAAGGTGAACGAGACTGAGACTTGAACCAAGTTAAACTAATTTTATTTTTTTTTCTTTTCCCTCTGGATTAATTTTAAATCATGCCTACTTTTTTATCCAATTCACCAAGGACCTGCACAAATGCTGCTGCCAGCACAGAGAAGGGGACAGCGCAGGTGAGGGAATGAGTGACTGAAAGCTATGCTGGAGAAAAGGGAGAGAGACATTTATTTCAGTGGCACGGCAGCTTGTTCTGTGTCGAAGTTATTGCGAAACTACAGCAAAGTCACCAACTGTCATCATGTCTGAATGGATAACCTTCATCCTGTCCCCTTGTATTTGTAGTGCAACAGATTCTAGCCATAGTACATTTTTTATACATAGCTAAAATTGTGTAAGAAATACATAATTTTAGTTACACAGGTGGAATGTATGGGATATTTTCATTCCAAGATTACAGCCCTACAAATACCTAAGTATGGGTAATTTCACTGGTTTCTGAAACAAATGGATTTTGTACGAATGTTTCTAGAATCTCTATCTTACAAGAAACAAACGTTCCCCATGAAAATATCTGGCTTTAATTTCTTTAACCCTAGTCATTGCATTTGCTGAAGCAAGTACCGTGCACAGCATGACACAGCTATCTATGAAATAATTTAACTGCATCATGCGCAGTCAGCACAAGTTCAGCACTGTAATTTGGAGAAAGTGATTCCATACTGTCACTTGCTGTCTGAGCCACATATTATGCTGCAACACTTTTCCTTTCCTTCCTATCTATTGTAAAAATATGGGCTTTTTTTCAATTATGTTAAAGTATCCCTCGTTAACAACGTATGTTTACATTTGATTAAAAAAAAGGTGTGGGGTTTTTTTAACATGTCATTTTAATCTTCGAGAGTTCAGCAACTATAAACCACAAGAAGTAATATCAATAGCACAAGCAGGTGCCCTCACCACAGGTAGTTAAACGGTTCTTCATTGTTTAATTTGACCAAACACTTCAGAAATTACTTGATTCTGTTCAGTGACAGTGTACAAGGAAAAATTAACTATGCAAGAAGCTGAAATAACCACCAACCTTGATTTCTGCGGGATGAGTTCGAGTGCTGAAGCTTAGTATCCTTGCGACATGTTGTTGTGTGTAAACTGCCTATAAGGATACTACTGCAGAACAAGAACTTCAGGAGTTTCAGTAACCATTTAAATACAAGCTCTCACAGGTGCTGTTTGAATGCGTGTAGATGGAGTAGCACACCTCTCAGTTGTCTGTGCGTGATGTATCCAGGTAGCAAATGAAGCCGAGCCTGCCTGTCCCCAGCACTCCTGGCTGCAGCAGGGTGCCCTGGGGGTGGGGAGCACAGCGCATGCTGCTCACACCCGGCCATCTTCTACCTGCTTCTCTTTTAAACTGGACTCCTCCCCACAGCAATCTGTTTGTACTTTTCCAAAGGCAAAATTACTATATTTATTCTAATTTACATATGCGTGTAATAGCCATTGCTCTGGGAAACTTATAGTTGTTGTACAAAGAAGACGTGAGCTGTTAGAAGGATCCTGACATCCAAACCTCCCTAAATAACATAACTTAGCAATAAATGTTTTAACTTCTTTTGAAAACTAAAAGTAATGCGTGGAATATTACTTCCAGCTGCTTATTGCAAGTCACTGGAAAGAAAAATAGCTTGGTGTAATAAAACCTAGGAAAGACTGGCAATGAGCAAGAGAAAATCTTCTGTGACCAGAAAATAGTCTCAAAGTTGGAAAAGTATTTTGGAAATCCATATTTATTATTCCTTTTATTTACAGAAAAAAACTCTCAAGTAGCAAACTTCCCAGTTACGACACTTATAATAATCTTGGCTCTTAACAGACAGCTATTAGTGCCCGAGATATAACATCACTCATATCAATTTCATTGGTCCAGCATTGACCAGAGAAGTCAAAAAGTAAAAAAGATCAGTTTCCAGCTCATGTTTAAAGTGAATAACCATCCCGCTGTATTTTTAGTACAATGGAAAGAGCTGTGATAGTCATATGGTAAGGAACAACTCAGTCTCTACCAAGTGCTACCCAAGCTGTGTAGCTTGCTGTTCAGAGGGGTAATAAACAGTCCTTTCAGTCCAGCCAGAGCGATTAGAATAGCCGTGATTCAAAGGCACGGCAGCGTAAGCGTGTCACTAAAATGTGGTCTTCTGAAAACTGCTTTTAACACAATAGAACCATTTCTTGGCCAGCACAGTTGATGGCCACGTGCTTTTGTTGCCACGAGCTGTGAGAATCCATAAAATCGGAGATTATTGTAGAAATGTGAATGTACTTTATGACGGTCTGTAGTAATTCTGTACATCTCTTATGTCTGTGTTCTTATAGCCACTTGGGCACTGAAGTAGCTGAAATGAGAAAGAGGCAGCAGTCACAAAATGAAGGAACATCAGCTGTGTCTCAAGCACCTGGAAACCAAAGGCCCAACAACACATGTTGCTTTTGTTGGTGCTGTTGCTGCAGCTGTTCATGGTATGTCCTGTAGTATATTTGGTTTCATATCCACCACAGGTAAATGATGAGAATGGAAAGTGCAAACTTCTGGGAGACGATTGCTGCCAAGAGGCACAATTTAACATTTCACTTAAAAATTTGATTAACCAATTCCCTGATTTGGTTGGACATCTTGTGAGGGGGAAGAGGAGAGAATAGCAAATTCAAGCTATATTTACCCTACTCAAACTATAATTAAAATAGGAAATTTCAGTTGTAAAACTAGTATGTGTGAATGAGAGACTCGATACTGAACATTTTATATTTTGCATTCAAAACATTTTTTTTCTCCTTGTACTTTCAATACTGCATTCAGGAGGGAAAAAGGTCATAAATGTGAACATATGGTGACATGTTTTACTACTTACTTGTTGAATAATCTATATTCTGTAAATCTGAAAACACAAGCCTTAAATTCCACTTTATCTTTTAATTGATGTGGTGTAATTTTAGTGGAAAAAAGGCTCAAAAATTGTGGCTGATTATCTCTTCCTAAACAGAGTTTACTTGGAAAGTCAAAATAAAGCCACTTTCAGAAACAGCTTTAAATTCTCGGTATCTTGAGATGCATCAGGTCTTTATTTCTTATTTTCATGAGCATGGTTAGTGTTGACACGTAAAGTAGTTGACATGCGGTACTGTTCGGAGCCTGTGCATCCTGTTACATACATAGTTCAGTCTTTTTCGAGTGACCAGTCCTCTGTGTATCTGTTATTTCCACTTGAATCAGCCATCCAGCCCCAATCTAAAATCTGAGGATATTTGCCCCCAATATATTTAAAAATACATACCCGAATGTATGCACTAGGCATCAAATGCAACAGCTTTTTCCAGGACGTCGCATCCTGGAGGCAGTACCAGGGTGGACCTGCCTTGGCTGTTACTTCCAGTTTCACCTGGAGGCAGAGGACATTTGGAGCAAGGATGAGCCAGAGCTCATGCTTTTACAAAGATACTTTGCAATGTGTTCAAGCCATACAGCAAAGAGGTGGAAGTGTGTTAAATGGGAAGAAAAGGAAGCATGTTTTGCCACTGTTATCTCTGCTTTGTGACAAGGGCACAATGTAAGACTAGCTATACTGTTGCAGACCAAAGGTTCATTTAGCTCAGTGTCCTGTTTCACGAAGTGACCTGTAGCGGATGCCACAAGGAAGGGATAAAAGAAGAGGACAAGTACCTCCTCAACCTATCCACAGCAAAACTCCTCACAACTTCTGGCTATCTGCAACTTAGGGACTTCCTGGCCCAGAGGTTATTTCTGTGTGTTTTATAGCCCTTGGTGGAACTTTCTTTCATTAATTTGTCAAACCATTTTCTGAAGTGACTTCCTGAACTGATCTAAACTTTTGGCATCCAGAGCTTCCCATAGCAATAAATTCTACAACGGACCTGTGCACTCTGTGAACTATGACTCCCTTTTATTTGTTTTAACCTACTAGATGTTAATTTCATTTGATGCCTCCTTGTTCTTATGATTGTGAAGAACAGTGAATAGTTTTTTCCCAGGATGATCAAGTTTTTATAGAGTGCTCTCATATCCCCTTTCAGCTGTCTTTTCTTCCATAGTCTTCTCTATTTTAATCTATGTGATACAGAAACTGACCCAGACTGTGGTTTATCCTTATCTCTCTTCTACCTGTCCACCTACCTTGTGTCTCTCTGTGTACATTTCCTATTCTACCATCTCCTGTATGAGTTGTGTGACTAGATCTGTTGCAGTAGTCAAGACATGGGTGCACTGTGTTTTGTGTTTGCTCTTGATTTTTTATTATTAATTCCTAGCACTCTGCTTGCTTTTCAACAATCCCTGAGATGATGTTTTCCTAGAATTATCCACCATGACTACAACTTCTCTTTACTGAATGGAAATAAAGCCCATCATTGTTCATGTACAGCTAGGGTTGGCCTTTGCCTTGCATATTGGAACATGAATGGCCATAAAAGTATCAGTCTAATTTCTAAAACTTACAGACAACTGATTTTATTTTTTAAGCGTGCTATAGCTTAAGAAGTCGTGTTTGACATCTATACTCTATTTTGAAGCTTTCACGAGCTTTGTGACCCTTGGAGTGCCTCCACTCCTTAGAACGCATTACCATTATATATTTGAACAGCTTATGCATATTAAGTCTAAATTAGAGCAATTATTGCATTAAAATGTGGAATGTCCCTTCAGCTGCTTTAGTAATTGTTTTGGCTGTTAATATCCTGTCTTTCAGGTGTTGGGTTTGTTTGGATTTTTTGTTGGGTTTGGTTGTTGGGGTGTTTTTTTTAAGTAGATTAGACTGAGCATGTAGAAATCCTGTCAATTTAAGCTTGTTTTCAGGATTATGTCAAAGAATGGGTCAAAGGGGATAGTGACATCACTTGTGTTTTCTAAAATCAAAAAGGTAGCACAGATGATGTAATAAGTCTTTTCCAGCTCTATCTTCTGTGATTCCATAGTGGAAACTCCAGCAGAGGAGAGATGGGAAAAAGGCAATATGAAATGTTTCAGAATCTCAGTTAAAATTAAGTAATTGGTTCTGGTGCCAAATTTGTTTGGTAAATTTGAACTGTCCAGGTGGAGTACAGACAACTGTTCTTGCCTCAGTTGTGTAAACAAAAAAACCCTACAAAGACAATTAAAAAAACCCTACGTAACGAACTTTACTAGTCACTCCTTATATAGGGGATTCTAGGTAGGTAATGCTCCAGGGTAGTTCTCTGTAATAGGAAAGCCTAATCAATAATTGTAACAGGTTCTCTGGACCTAATGCAATTGCATACTTTCCCTAGTTCCAGCTGTCTTTGTATTTGAGTAATGTGAAATTCTCAAGAGGTACCTGCCTGGAAATGTTGCTGGGTTCATTTTTCTTCTGTTTTTCCACCAGCCTGTGTGACTGAGGACAGCTCTTACATCACTAACCTCTTAGTGCCTCAACTTCCTCACCATCCAGGGAAAGGGGGGGGCGGGCGTGTGCACAGCTTTTAGTAAGAAGCTTTTACTTGTATCTCTTTCAAGAGTTAGTTCAATAGTTCATATATCCAAACAAATAATTAGAATTCTAAAAATATCTTTTGTGAATCATGTGATGTTTGTTTTCTTCTGTTCCACCCTGTGTTAAAATCAGAATAGGCATTAAGTCTTCTGTTTGCATAACAGCATAGGCAAATATTCACACCTTTGTTTAGGGAAATAATACCTTGCCTAATAGAGACTTGTTAACAGCAAAAAGTTAGATCCAAAAATTATTCAGTGCATCTTATAGCAAACTTTTTTTTTCTCTAATAATTCCTTTTTAAAGGTAACAAATATTTAGAGTACTTCTCCATTGTTGTGGGTTAACCCCAACAGGCACCTCAGCCCCACGCAGCCACTCGCTCACTCCTGCCCAGCAGGATGGGGAAAGAAAATTGAAAGCGTGAAAGTGAGAAAACTCGTGGGTTGAGATAAAGACAGTTTAATAGGTAAAGAAAAGCTGTGTGAACAAGCACAGCAAAACAAGGAATTCATTCACTGCTTCCGATGGGCAGGCAGGTGTTCAGCCATCTCCAGGAAAGCAGGGCTCCATCACGCGTAACGGTGACTTGAAAAGACAGACGCTACAACTCTGAATCTTCCCACTTCCTCCTTCTTCCCCAGCTTTTATTGCTGAACACAATGTCATATGGAATATCCCTTTGGTCAGCTGGGATCAGCTGTCCTGGCTGTGTCCCCTCCCAACTTCTCCTGCACCTCCATCCTGCTCACTGGCAGGGCAGTATGAGAAACAGAGAAGTTCTTGATGGTGTGCAAGCACTGTTCAGCAGTAGCTAAAACATTGATTTGTTATCATCAACACTGTTTTGGTCACAAATCCAAAACACAGGACCATAGGGGCTGCTACAGAGAAACTTAACTCCATCCCAGCCAGACCTGGTACATCTATTGGCACTGATAATTGTCAGGACAGTAAATTGCTGAGTTTACAGTGACAAAGCAGGGCTGATTACCAAGTTTTGCTCAGATTGGAAAAGATGGAGATAAACAAACTCCTTAAGTAGGCCATTTAATTGTAATAGATATGGTCAGGATGTTGCCCAACTAGTTTAAGCCCTGAAAGGCTGCCTGAGCATCAGTAGTGACGGAAGCAGTCTTCTTTCTTGGAAAAAATAAAGTGCTTCCCCAACAGGAAAAGCTTGTCCACTCTGGACACCTTCTGTAGGACCTTCCTCTCTCCACTGACCAGATATAGACCTTAGGTGCTTACTTCAGGAAGACCACCTCACTAAAGTATCTACCAGATAAGTACCAGTCAGGTACTGAAGGTGCTGGACTGAATCTCTGCTTAAGCCTCCACAAAGCACCAATCCCACAGAGGACAGAAGAAAAGGCTTCCTTACTAGGTGTAATTTCAATGACTTGGGTAGCCTGAGAGTTGCAAAATTTGCAGTAAGATTCCTAACATGACAGTCTATAATTTCCTGAATTACACTTTCTCCAGAGAGCTGCGCATTTAGTATTTAGTGCTATGGCTTTACAGTTTTGAGTTCAACCTGGTGAGGTAAGGGTATAAGCCTGCTATTTCACCTCCCCGACCTTATTGAGCAATCCATTACTCCAGCTTCCTGAGCAGACATGGAGCCAGTCAATCTCTTGCAAACACTTGTAAATTACATTCTTAAAAAAAAAAAAAAAATCTCAAGACGCTAGCACAGGGAAGTTGGCTATTCTGCCAATTTTATTTTGCATCCTCTTTTGTCTCCCACCCAGAGCAGGAGTCATATCTTTTTATCCTCTCTTCCTTTAATAAGGTGCTCAGTGAATTTTAAAGCTGTGGGACACTGATGGCTGATAATCCCTCTCCTTTACCACAGACAGTAGGCACAGTAGGTGTCTAACATCTGCCCTGCAAGAGACCTTAGCAGTACGGGAGTCTGGGGGACATGAAAAGGCTTCCTGTGGACAAGTGAAGATGAACACACACCTTCACTTGGTTCTGTAGCTCGAGTCAAGC